CGTCCCTCAACGTCCGTTCACCTCTCTCGCTCTCTCTCTTTCTATACATACATAATTGTCTGATTGGTTGGTTTATGAAATTTCTCTTTTCTGACACCACCCGGTTCTCCCGCGAGTTATAACGACCGATATCACAGCAGAACCCGTAAACCAATCAATCGTAAGCTCTTCCCTCTCATTCTCTCTACTTTTTCTTCCTTCTCTTTCTATTTTTTAGCCTGTAAATATGTTCTTTTTCTTTGTTCTAATTCATTTATACCTTTTTTTTTTGAATTTTAGATAAATGATTTGCAATTTTTCTTTCATTTTCTCGTCTGGGTATGCTTTTTTTAGGACTCTTTCTATATATGTTTCCATATATTTAGTTTTTCTTAGGTATACAGTCTAGGGTTTCAGAGTTTTCCAAAGGGTTGGAAGTTTGAAATTTGGAAACTCTGAAATCCTCAAGAGGGTAATGGTACAGTACTTATAATTTTGTTATCCTGGGTGAATTTTCCATCTGGGTTTTTCTTGACGTCTGAGTTTTCCATCATATGATCAATCTTGTTATGTTCTTGTGAGAACAGAGGAACACCGTTAGTCATTGAGCAATTTTCAAGGCCATAATCTTTAGGTATTGTCAGTTTCGCAGCACAGTATCTTTTTTGGTAATTCTATTTTTCAAGCTTGTAGTCTTAAGGAATTGTGTGCTTTATTGCATTGCCAGTGCTGTGTTATATATGTTTCCTTCCGTTTCCATATGTTGTTGGAGAAATAAATTGGAATACCGCTGTCAACACGTCTTTGGAGGTTAATTCTAAGGCATTTGGAAACTTTCTTGTGAAAAGCAGATGCATTCCAGCTTGCATATAATATATTGCTGATCTTCTTTGACTATTGGTATGTCTAGACCGAGCTGGAGTCTTAAGAATTTTTCGTCTTTCTTTGCAGGATGGGGAGGGTCAAGCTGAAGATAAAGAGATTAGAGAACAGTAGCAACCGGCAAGTTACCTATTCAAAACGGAGGCTGGGAATCTTAAAGAAAGCTAAGGAATTGTCAGTATTATGTGACATTGACATTCTCCTTCTAATGTTCTCTCCAACCGGAAAGCCAACGTTGTTCAGCGGAGCATGCAGGTAATTTCTGGAGTTAAAATCTTATATCAATATTTCATGTGGACAGTTTTGGCTAAAAAATTAACTGTTGCCAGGCAAGAGCGTCAGATGGAGTCTTGTATTTCTATTGTTTAACACTTCTCCTTATCAATTGGTGGTGACTGGTGTGATGGAAAAGTGTTGATGGGAACAATGATGCTTTCCTTGTTGTACTTGGCTATTAGGCTTATCTGTTTATGAATGAAAGCCACAAAGTTATGCTTTAAATGACAGGGAATAGAAGTTTATCGTGTTTTTTATTTATTTTTCTGTGTGCATGACATATTACCACTTCTATTAAATACTCTGTTCTCTGTGTTTTTGTCATATACGGTCAAAAACTTCTGCTGGTAGACTTTTGCATATATGTATATGTTCAACACACTGAAGTCAGTATTCACTTCTGCCAGTAGACTTTTGCATATATGTATATGTTCAACACTCTGAAGTCACTATTCATAAGTATACCATACACTTGTGCTTAGTTATTAGGGAGTCCTTATCCAACATCTCGTTTTTGTTTTGAGGAGAGTAGTGGTGTACGGACTTATTTGGATTACAATTGCATGGAGAAGAACGAGATGATTTGGGAACATTACCTTACAAGAGACATATATGATTTTTGTTCATGGAGGGGAACTTCTCAAAAACTATTGAGTTTCTTTGCGTGGGTTTTTCAAATGAGACAATTGTCAGGGGAAATCCCAAAGAATAAAAGTGGAATATTAAAGTAGGGCAGTGGAGTGCATTTATTTTGATATATAGGAGCTTATCAATAGTGGATGTTATACGTGAATTTTGGATGTGGCGCAGAATGTTTTTATTTTTTATTTTTTTTTTGGGGGGGGGGGGGGGGGTATGTGTTTTGTTGATGTGATTTTAAAGGGAATGGGGTTTGTATTTGATTCAAATAGGTAAGAAGATCCACATTTTCATATAATTTTTAACTACAATTCATCTATCGTAAACCTTAAGTAGGTATGAGGTCTTTAGATTACCTCACTGGAAATTGAACCCTTACCTCATCTCTTTTTTTTTAGATATCATCAACATTTTGTCCGCCGTAAATGACCTTTCAAGACAAACTTTATTTAAAATTTGAGAACTATAGAAATTGTGGACACCAAATCCAACCTAGTACAAAATATTTGAAAGGATACATAAAAAGTCTTCCCACACAAATCATTACAATACACAATCGCGTTCCAACTTTGATTGATGAGCTAATTTGATAATTTTAGGGATCTCATTAACTAACTCCCATGTTGGGTTCCATTTTAGGGATCTCGTTAACTAACTCTATTCGTAGCCTATTCTTCATATAGCGTCCTCTGTTACTTTTTGCTTCCTTCCTTTTATGGCGAGCTTTCCATTACTCATCTATAGTGCTTCTCCATATTCTTTTGTCTTTAGAGTTCATCGTTATAAAGAGAGTTGGTATCATATAACAAAATATTAGGATCATCTAAGATTGGTTTATATGGGTTGAGATATTTCTCAACTCATAGCCAATTGGTTTTAGGGTGGATATACCTCTGAAATAGTATCAAATGCCTTGAATGGTCAATAGGCCAAGTTTTTCACTCATTTGAATTTTTTGGTATAGATGTTTGTTTGTCAGGCCACATTTGAGCCCGAGTTCCAATTTGAGGGAGTGTTTAAAGAGACTTTGTATCTCACATAGATAGTTATACCCACTCAAGGTTAGCTTATATGGTTGAAAAATCCTTCCACTTATAGCTAATTGGTTTTGGTTAGGGTTTCTCTATAATGACTTTCGTTGACTCAAGGAGGCCTATATATGTGCATAACTTGGATGCTAAAAGGCAATAATTTCGGGATGTTTAAATAATTTTCATAATGGATTCCTTGTGTCTAATCTTAATAGCTTGGTCCCATAACACGAAGTTGCATTAGGGCACATGCAACCCAATGTTATTTAAGGCAAAAGACACATCGAAGCGCCAAGGTCTTTAGTCATGAAACACGAGGCAAGAAGTGCGGTGAGTTGTAGATTTTATCGAAGTGAGACATATACTAGAGATAAGATTTGAAAATTAGGAATTATGCCGCCAAGTACAACTAATTATTTTTAAAAATGTGACCAAATATAATTGATTTCTTAAAGTTAAAGGCTAATGTTGTAGTATTGAGAGCTAATTGAAGCAAAAAAGGAGGCTTTTTTTTAAAAAATTGAGATATATTTCAGTGATATAGGAGCTAGTTTCACAAAAATAAAAAGGAAAGCAAAAATATGAGAGAAAAATCATGGAAAGATGCAGAAAGAGAAAGTGATGATGATGGGGATTTTTGGCGATAAGAGAGAAGATGTAGTTTCAAACATGAGGGCACCAATTTTGCACAAATAATGTCAAAGGTTTAGCTGTACCTAATATATCTATACCATAATCCCCATTAATGGAAATTAAATTAGATGTTACTTTTGGAGAGGAGGATGAGGAGAAAAAAGAGAAAAAAACCCCAGCTCAATGGTCCAAAAAAGTCAATTTTATTTGGAGTAAAATCATAGTGGGTTAGGAAAGTTCACAAGTTGGAGTTTGGGGTTAGAACATATATTGTACTTTGAGCTTTAATCCATGTTATGCATATCCAAAATTCTACTTAAAGCGAATATATCAATAGCTCAAATCATATCATTAAGTGAGAGAAAAGCTTATGCACGTTTGGCCTAATTCCGAATCGCACGCTTTAAGTGTTTGAAGTGGGAAAGTCGCCTTGCCTCAAATCCATTGAGGCACTTGAGGTGTGTCTTGAATCGCTCAAGCTTAGGTGCGTGCCTAGGCTAATTTTGCTCCCACTAATCCAACCTAATGTATTAGTGATTGTGAGGGTCGGGTGTATGGACTAGGGGTACATGTTGGGCTGCAACCTTAAGTTTCTTCTGTGGGTCATAGTACTCTGCTTCTTTCCGATATGGGATCCTTGGGGCTTTTACATCTAGTGCTATTCAAGGTGGTGTTTGAGATGCAAGTAACATCTTGATCAATCTCCCCTTGTGGTTTCTTTTTTGGGTACCACCCCCTCGGGGCGGGTGGGGTGGGTGGGTGTTAGCAATCAATTAGACTTGGTTACTTCCCTTCAAGTAGGTTAATTTGTATTGGGATGTGTCTTTTTTGGAATCGGTTTCAATGGGAGATTAATCTTACCCTTGCACAAGGAGCGTAAGGTGACATGAATACACCAAGATTTCCATCATTGAAACCCTTTAGGTTGAGATTCACACTTAGGCCTTACATTGGCCATTCTTTCTATGGTTTAAGATCGCGTTGTCATGGTGCGTTATCAGGCTATACAACCTAAAAGAAAATGATGACTATGCTGAGAGATTTAGGTTATATCGCAGTATCGCGGAAACGTATCGGCCGATTTGATGATGATAACTCAGTGATTCGGGATTGACTCGGATACAACTTGAACGACTCAATCGAGTTGTCCAAGACTCGGGTTTTGTACGTATCGTATAACGGTATCGTTTTGAAGGGTAACGAGTTGTACGATTCGGCCGATTCGTATCCGTATCGACCAATACTTTGAACCATCTCTCTCTCTCTCTCTCGCGGATGTATTTTGACCTCATCGCAATTTCCTTGGACCCGGACCATCTTTTGTGCCACTAATTTTACCCCTATGATTCAACTAACATTGGGGAGTATAAATGTTATATATGTGAACATTTTAGTTTATTCTCTACAATATGTGTGGTTTCAAGTTTTAAATTCTGAGTCTCTACTTGGTGTGGGTCACCTTTTTCACCAAATTTGAAAAGTGCATTCATTTTGTAATAATTGGTTTGGTACCCATTGATGTAGTGTTAGATAAAGGAAAATGTATTGGATGGAGGCAATATGAGGTAAAGGTGATTCTTTGTTCTTCCTCATGGCAAGAACCAAACAACGAAGTTAGGTTACAATTGTATCCCATGCCCAATGCAAGAAGAATGTAGGTTCATAGGGTTGGTTACTTGATCTTGTTTCACCATGCCTTTCTAAGATTATGGTTTCTGTAAAACCACATGTTACGAAATCTTTAAAACTGTCTCAGCTACCGACCATGTCTACCATATATCTCTCAACTCGGTGGTCCTGTCACTAGTCTTTGCTGTTCATGGACAAACAATGTGGGTAAATATGCCTAACATTATCTACTGATATCATTCATTGTTTTGCTTGTTCAGCAATGTTGATGAGGTTATTGCGAAGTTCGCTCAATTAACTCCTCAAGAAAGGGCAAAAAGGTATAAAAACTAATGTTAAACCTATGGTTATTATTTGGGTATTTTTGGCCATATTTGCAGAGCTTTATGACTAGTTTTTTTTGCCTTTTGACTTGAACAGGAAGTTGGAGAGCCTTGAAGTAAGCTTGATGGGAATCAATTTCTTTCTTTATTTCTTCTCAACTCTCTCTCTCCCCTCCCCCCCCCCCC